CCTCCCCACTCTTTCCGTCGCGTTGGTCTAAGTCCTCGAGGCGGAGAGAAAGGAACCAGAGTGAAGGACGGCTACCTGTGGCGCTGCCAGGTGGCCTCGGTCACGTGGGTTCGTGACGTAAGGGGTAAAAGAATCTTGAGGTCATGGGGCTTCCCCTGACCTGGATTCTATCTCTCCGTCACCGGCAGAATCGCTGATTAATGCCTACAGTTCAAAATAGTCATTTTGACTGACCGGAGTCTATGGTGGGTATGAACTATGTGAATAGGCGGGTTCGGAGAACCCTCGCCTAATTTCGAAACATAGCAGTGACTTCTCTAGCTGCAATCCAAATACAGAAGGTGTGTCTTGTTTACCTGATATCTGCGAAAGTTTGAGCTGGCCAACATGTTAGCTTCTTTCATGTGGTTGATTACTGGCATGTTGATTTCCCATTTTAGAGCCATTGTTTTCAACTTTGTTTATTATTTTAATATAGCAATCTCCTTATATGTTAACATTGTAGTCTATGGAGTTTCAATTAGTGTTATGAGCACTGAACTTTCACAGTGGCATTAAAACCAATTGCCTCAATGTTCAGGAAGTTTGATTTGAAGCGAAAACTACAAGTTTTTCATATAATAATCATATAGGATAAAACAATTTTATCAAATTTTGCAAAAAAAGATACGCTCTCAGCTGTGAAATTCAATCATTGATTGTATATATTGTGTAAGAGACTAACTTGTATACGTCATTTTCAATAGGCAGTAGATCATAGGCCATAGCTTGGAAAGTCAATTCATGAAGCAAGGGAGATACTGGATCAATACCACGATCCAGAATCAGAAGTTGTGAACGATGTTTCTCTGGTCCCTATAAGAAAAAAAGACAAATACTTGTTACCAGAAAATTAAAATAATTGTCAATATTTTGTCTCTGTGTTTCTGTCTCAGTGTCTTTCCCTGGTTTCGGTTATGTTTAGTCTCTTTTCCTGTCCCTGTTTATGTCTCAGTCTTATCAAGTGTTGCATTTAACTCTTTTTATGTATATATTTCGAAGATCTTGAGATGTGTTATACCTCATAGAAGCCAAATTATTTGTGATGGAAAATTTGTAATGGCTTGAAAGTATTGTTTATATGAACAGAAATACTCATGCAGTCAAATTTGAATTTTGTAATATATATGTAATACATCATGGAAGCGAGCTTTGATTTTGATAAAACAACTAGAGTTATTGGCTTGTTAGTAAGCAACTAATGTACCGTATTACCCCGGGCACGCACCCCTTCCTGGGCAAGCGCCCACCCCCCTGTTTTCACAAAAGTTACATGTTGGGGACATCCTCGGTTAAACCAGGGTGATTTTTAGCCAAGAACGGGATCAACAATAAAGTTTTATTTGTCAAAAACGAACGTGTTTGATTTATTTAAATAGTGTGTTTGTTACGGTAGTTCTCTTTTTGAAGTGTGTGATGGCCCTGGAAAGGGACGTATTGTTTGTGTTTTTACGTAAAATCTCATTGGAACTTAACGACGTAAGATGAACCACGCAGCATGTGGCGCACACATTCTGCTTTCTCTTCATTCACGATGAATCCAATATTGCAATAATCCATACCTTGGTGAGTGGTTTGAAGCACTTAGCTTTGGTTTCAAAACGTAGCATTTCGCTGACTGTGAATCCA